AACCAATTCGGGTTGCGACCAGAATCGTGGAACGAATTAAGTTCGTGAACTGAGGTACCACTGTAAATGGATCTTTGGAGCACACACTTTTTGATACATTACAATATCTGATTGCAGATCCCAATTGTTATTACAGTACTGTAATGAGTAGTCAATTGTGTTTGCTACTATCGGACTGCTATCACCATCTGTGAATGTAACAAATTCCAGACTTAAATAAACTTTCTCCATTCATTTCTGAGCATGAAGGGGGAAAAAGCAATATAGTTTGATGTTATACTGTCAAAATAGTTGGAAACCCTTGGGAACTTATAAACAAACCACAAGCACAGGCTTATCTTACACTTTAGGGAGAGTCTTTGACAATTTAGCTAATCAATTCTGGCAAAATGTATACTTAACTGACTGCAGGCTTTATACTAGACTATTATTTTATTAAACTTGTATGCCACTGACTCTTAATGACTCTGTTCTGGACCTGAGGGAATTTTAAGTGAGCTGATGGTGAAAATGCATGAAAACCCCTCATTTAAAGCTATCTTTCACTAACTAATTAACAGTAAGCTGCTTAAAAAATAGTTCATATAATTTATTAGGGTAAAGTGACATTTGTCTTTCAACCCCCACTCCCATGTCTAGGGCTGAGAGTCTGTGACTGGCCCAGACATCCAGCCAGCTTCTGTGCCCAAGAGAGGACTAGAATCTGGGTCTCTCTGGCTCCTAGTCCAGCATCTTAACCACATCACACTGGCTCTTATAAGTATACTGTATGCAGTAATAGAAATAATAATAGTTTTGAGATAATTATCACTAGGATATTTACAATTTCTAGGTAATAGGAGAAAATAAACCATACATGGTCAAGCATAATTCAAATCTAAAAATAAAGCAATAATTTACCTGATTACAAGTCAAATCAAACCAAACAAAAAACATTCCATCCCAGACATTATTTTTTCCCTTACTTTTAGCAAACACACAGAGCAGTACTATTTTAAAAAATTAAGCTGAAGAACTTGGATATATTTTATGGCAATTTAGCTTTCAGTGCTTTTGATTACTTTGAAAGTGTCAAATAATACCTAACCATTAAAAGTTAATGTGGCCCATCATTATAATGAAGCCAGGAAGGAAAGAGCTATTTATAAACATTGCAGGCAAGATTATGCTAACAATGCCACAAGAATCAAGAAATACTTGGTAACACTAAGAAACAGTCCTGAAACAATATAATAAAAGCAACATACAGAAAGTTAAGACAGTAATATTCCAGAATGTTAGCTGAACAATTTGTTAGGATTAATATTTTCTGAGATGGTCTTCTACTATTTCAATGTATTAGCTGTCTGTATATGGCTTGCTATCTTTTTCAAGATAGTTTTCAAATATTACTGTATGTTTATTTTTACTGCACTATTAGGGCATATTACTTTTAAAAATTAAAAATATTAAACACAAAACTATTAAATGCAAAAAGCCCACTAAATTGTACTAAAGCATCTGCCTCCTTGTATATGGTAGAAGACACACTAAAGTTCTTAAGCAATCTAACAGTAGATTCTAGTAAAATGAAGAATATTCAGTTCAGCTGAAACAAAAAGATGAAGAGGCAAGCATATGAAAGCACCACCACTCTATTTTATATTTCATAGTGACTTGCTTCTAGAGAATCAGTCACAAGCACTGTCAATCTGGTGAACTCCGACTATATGGACTGTGACAACACCATCTTTTTGGGAAAAAATATGGTTCAAGTAGTTTTGCGTAAGAATGGATACTATCTTAAACAGAATTAAGTAATGCAAGTGATTTTATAGATAGTGACAGTAAAACTGGTAGAGTTCCAATTACTTCTAGTGTTGAAATGGATGCCTGGAAAACATGGCAAATTCTTTTAAGCATATTAAAATCAATTCAAGAGAAAAACATGCTGTTGCATGTAAATTTTGAGAAGTTATTATTTTGTTTGAAACAATATTGAATGCAGTATTCTAATCAAATGTGATACTACAGGTAGTCCTCCATTAACCATCATTCATTCAGTGACCCTTTGACGTTATGACAGCACTGAACAAGGAGACTTAAGGCCGGTCCTTGAAGTTGTTGCCATTACAGCTTCCCTGCAGTCATGTGATCACCACTCGAATGCTTGGCAACCAGCTCACAATTACAATGATTGTAGGGTCCCATGGTTACACAATCAACATTTGCAACCTTCACTGCAGCTTCTGACAAACAAAATCAATGGGGAAGCCAGTAGGAGGACGCAAATGGTGATCAAGTGATGTTGTGCTTAACAACTGCATGGGATTCACTTAATGACTGCAACTGCCATCATAAGTCGGCACAGTCATGTGATGTCGCACTTTATGACCACATCACTTAGCAATGGAGTTTCTAATCCAGTCGTTAATTGAGGACTACCTGTACTCTTCGTTCCTCTAGGCTGATTATAGATTTTTATTAAATTTGTATACCTGCCAACTCCGAACAACTCCAGATGGCTAACAAGTAAAAGCATTAAAAACAAGAAAAAATGCAATAAGAGACAAAAATAAAATAAAAGATGGCAAAGAGGACAAGAACCATACAGAATGAAAAAGAAACAAACCCACACAATCCAAGGGGGTTCCAATCACCCTCACCGAAGACATGGGCAAAGAGTCAGGTCTTTGAAACACCAGCAGGATGGTGTTGGAGGAAAGTGGTCTAGCCCAAGTCCCCTGTATTGTGGGTGCCTAATGGCTCCACTCTTTCCCCATTTTTATTTAAAATTTACACAAACCCACTGGGGGAGGTAATCTATCATCATGGAGTACTGTCTCATCATTATCTTGATACTCAATTGTGTAACTCTGCTCTTGGCCCACCAAACATTTGTCAGGGTTTTGGCCCAGTGCCTGGAGGTTGTAGGTTCCTGGATGGGGAAGAACAGGCTTCGGCTCAACCCTAGCAAGGCAGGTGGCTATGGGCCCCCAATTCTAGAAGCGGAGATCTTCCATCTTTGGGCCAGGGAGGGGTTACACTTCCCCATTTAAAACTGCATGTAATTTGGGGGTTCTTCTGGACTCACATAGCAGGTAGCAGCAGCTGCGGCCAGGAGGGCCTTCATACAACTTTGTCTTGCGTACAATTGCATCATTCCTGATTTGGGAAGTTCTGTTCGTGGTCATTCATATTTTAGTCACTGCCCAATTAGACAACTACAAATGCACTCTACATGGAGCTGCCCTTGTAAACCATCCAGAAGCTACAACTGCTCCACAATGAAGCAACACAGGTACACGTGGGTGCACCTTGGTACAGCCACTTAACTGCTCTAGCTCCCATTAGGCTTCTGGGTTCAATGAAAGTTACTGGTAATCACCTATAATGCTCTACATGGCACAGGGGACTGGGTTATCTGCAGGATATCCTTTCTCTGATTGTTTTTTCCTGTCCCACATGTTCTAATAGGATGGGCTCACTTCAGGTTCCTTCCCTGAGGCAATGGCACCTGATGGAGCATAAGAGGTGTGTCTTTCCCACTGCAGCACCTACCCTCTGTAATGAACTTCTTTCCTCCAACATATGTTTGATCCCAACTCTGCTGGCTTTTAGAAAGGCATTAAAAATTTGGTTTTCTTGTATGTTGGGGGTAGGGTAATAGAAGATCCTATCTATAGTTGGAATTTTAATTGTATCTGAATTTCTGCTTTTTTTAAATTGATGTTTGCCACACAGAATTGCATCTGTGCAAGCTGGGCTGCCACATGAACTTCTTAAATAAATAACAAATATATCAATCTGAGTTTTTATGATTACACTCACAGAAGTAGCACAAACTATTTATTTGGTTTTGTTTAAATGTAACAATAATAATGAATAATAATAATTCAAGTATGCTTTGGATCACACTCCAATGAGGGCATTGTGTATTTTGCTTTTCACCCATACTGAATTTTCTAATTCAAAAACTTTCAAAAGCCCATTTCACTACCTAGTATACTTAAAAAGTGTCTTAGCCATTACACTTAAAATATATGTGAAAAACATTATTCCTGAATACAGGTTTCAAGGAAAAGCAATACCTCGTTTATATTTTACTTGAAAAAGCCACCACTGATTTTAACCATTTTAGGCCTCATATTAAGTATGCATATAAGAATTTCATATGCATTCTGAATAGAATCTTGAATTGAGAAGTATAATGGATTGAGTCAACCTCTTCCTGGCTTCACCAGCTGCTCAAATTATCCCTCCAGAAGTATTTCCCCATCATATTGCAAACTAGTATTTACCCATAGGACAAACAGCAGCTTGGGGAGCCATTTAGATACTGTAAGGGGAACAACCCATGGAGAAAGACTAGCTCTCTCTCTACCACAACCCCCACTGTTCCAATGCAAAATGAGCCTTCACACCTGCATTTCACTGAAGAAAGCCCATTCTCCTATTTCTCTGACCACATCTAATTTGACTGTCCACCTAGTTCCAAAAATGATAGCACTGATGGGGCAACTGGAATGCCAAAAGGTTAATGCATACAGCACGCGCAGGTTACAAAAACCCGATACTCACCCTTGTATGCCTGAGCTATACTGCCTGCTTTTCCAAGGCGTGCCTAGAGCAAGGTTGCACCCGGGCTGCGCTGGAGAGCAGGGGCTGCTTTCGCCGGCGAGGGCGGTCCCTTTGCGGACGATACCGACACAGCCGCCAGAGAGTAGATAGTTCATCCCATACGTGCTGGCCTTGTTCTCCCGTTTCCTGCGCCCCGGGTGGTACTGATGGTGGTGGTGGTGGTAGTAATGGTGATGGGGAGAGGGGGCGGCAACGGCCACGCCGGAGGCCCGCGGGCCTTGCCCTCCTCCTTCCTCCTCCAGCTCTCCTTGCTTCACTGGATTCGCTTCAGCGGCGCCTGCCAAGATTTTGCAAGAGGCCGGCGGCGGTGGCCCAGGTCCGGCCCGGACGCAGGACGGCGAGGAGAAAGGGCCACCACCGGGACTGTCAGCGCCAGACTCCGCCGAGGAGGACGAGGACGAGAGGGACGACGACGACGACGCCGAGGGGGACTTCTGTAGGAGCAGCAGGCGCGGCGCCCGCCTTTCCGCGCTCTGGGCAGGGAGAAGGCGCAGGGCAGCCGGCTTGGAGATCAGCTGCGGAGACGACAGGGCCCCTCCAGCAGCGACGGCGGCCCCGGAG